ACGAAAAAAACCCACGATGAAACCCAACAAGTCACTGGACACCTGCTGGAGCTCGGAGTGATGGAGGGGGGGGGGGGTGGGGGGTGGGGGTGGGGTACTCGCTTATTAAGCCATATAGGTATGTGCTGCCCCAAAGAGTATGGTTTTTGAGCGGTTTTGGTCTAAAAACGGGTACAGACTTTGCCCATTTTGGTCTGGAATTGGGTATGGTTTTCGAGGGAAGAACGTATTCAATTCCAAATGAGGAAGAAAGAGATCTAAGCGATTTCGAAATGGATGTAAACAAGAAAATCTCTTTTTGTTGCTGTTCTATTCTAAGTATTGATGAAAGAATTTCTCAGAGGCCAGGTCTTCTGAAAACGGGAGTGAAAAATTACAGTTTTTGGTCTGAAATAGGGTCAGGAGTTGAGAACCCGGCAGCACACCCACACAAAGAATTTCTAGGAGTACCCCTCCCCACCACCCGGGGGTGGGCAGAACTAGAACTCACTGGAATCGCGCTGAAACGGCCAAAAATGCCAAGAACACACCAAAAAATAGAACACACCATCATTTTAACGAGGAGAGAAGGTAAGGAATACTGATGTATTTTTTATTACTGATTTAACGATCGCCAAAATCCCCATACAAACCTTTTTAATAATTCTGTTACGCCAGCAGCCTCCTGGTTACGCAACGATTCTCTTTCGTGAGCTTGGGGTACCTGTGCTGTGAACAGTCTAGACCCAGGCACTCTAGCATCAAATATTCACTGCTGTCAAACAAGGAATACTACAGAGTCTTGGCCAATACTGATAAAATAAAAGTCGCCAACGACTCTTGATCTTGTCAGTGTCTTTTCTTTTAATCCAACTCATGGATTGAGTTCGATAAAGTTCGGGCATAGCGTAATTGAACTCACAAAAAAAAAAGATGTTCAATCGAGCACAACTGAACGTTCGGATTTCGAACTCTTGTAACTCTTGATAGACAAGATCACAGTGGAAACTCTCGAAACAAATTAATCTTCCTGGTCCCGGTTGTTCAAAGAGCGGATAACTTTATCCAGCGGATAGGCCTATCCTGTGGATAAAAAGTTGTTGCACAAAGCGCGGATAGCCTTGCATATAACCTATCCGATGGATAAATCGCTATCCAGGCAGTTGCCATGGTAATAAATCTGGCCTTGCGTGAGCTTAGATTGCGCGTGCCAGACGGACAACATCATGGCTGAAAATATTGGGCCTTCACCGGCCAAACGCCCTGGAAAGCCTAACTTTACGCCAGCAGAGTGTGCGGTAATTTTTGAAGAGGCGGAGGAGAATCTTAGTATAATTAAAAGTAAGTTTTCTTCAACGTTATCGAACAAAAATAAGAAACCAGTACCTTATCTGGAAACTCACCCACCAGAGAAACCAGCTGACAGTCTTCGATCGTGCCAGATCCACTACCAATGCTAGTAGCTCTACCTGATACACAGGTGAATTTCTCAAGCAGTTCTGCTGAAATACTGCCTGTATCTTTGCCGTCAAAGACCTCAGCAAAGTTGCCTGAACAGCCCAAGAAAACTCCAAGAAAGAAAGTGACAATGGACGAGATAAATGAACTGCACTTCTCTGTTCTTCAAAAAGAAAAAATGAAACTTGACTTGGAATTTGAAAATATGCTTTTAAAGAAACGAGAAATCTTGTTGAGGATTCAGCAGCATGGCAAGGCAGCCCCTCTGGGTTTGGGAACTCAATAATAATCTATATTGTTTTTTTGTTTTTTTTTGTAACAGTACAACACCGTTTGCAAGGAAAAGTCTGACTCAATTTCTCTTTTTATGTGACAAGTGTGCACTCCCTGTGTACATTAAATTAAAAAAATGTGTTGGTTATGAGCTGTCGCACTGCATTACCAGTTTCATGCCCATGGTACTGGCTGTGCAGGTCGGCAGCACATCCCTCATCCTCCATGTTACAATCCTCTGGATCTGGCTCCCCAAGGATCACTGCAATATTGTGTAAAATGCAGCAGGCTACAATTATAGTGCAAACCCTGTCGGGAGCCATCCTCACTTCTTAATGTAACACATGGAACCTCCTCTTCAGCACACCAAAAACCTGTTCAATGATGCATCTGGTCACCTTGTGCGCGTTGTTGAAGAGCTACTCCTTGCGGGTCTTGGGGTCAAGGTAGGGAGTCATCAGGAAGGGCGACCAGCATAGCCGCTATCCACAAGTAATACACCATCTGTCAGACCATTCCCTTCAAGGTGACGGTCTATGGCAGAGGTCCGGAAAATGTGGCTGTCATGAGTTGAACCAGGCCATCTAGCCACAACATTTGTAACCAAACCTGTAAAATTCAATTAACATTATTAATTGATTAATTAATTACTTTGCTTTATGTGCAACAGAGCATTTCCAGTAAACAAATTTTCAATTCAGCTTAGTATTTCTAAACTTTACAATTTCCCATTCTGTTGCCATAAATTTTTCTCTGCTAGCAGGAAACCATAATGTTAGCATGTTTCCTTTCTGTTTCCGTTTCCGTGATTCCATTTCCGTTTCCGGATTCCGGATTCCGGATTCCGGATTCCTGATTTTATCGCTGAGTATAAAAGTAATCGAGCCAATATTGCTCGCATGACAGAAACCCTTGGTTTAAACTGAAGCCTAAATTAAGTAATGGAGGTATTTGCTTACCTCGATGGTTTCAGATTGCCTGCACATTGATCGAGTGATAACCTTTACGGTTCACGAAGTCTGGCTCATTTTCGTGAGGGGCTGTTATTCTCACGTGTGTACCATCGATACAGCCAATGGCACACGGAAATCCACCAACACGAAAAAGACCTTGCTTTATTTCGTCTCTTTCAGCTCTCGTTGACGGAAATTTGATGAAATCGCCAACCTTTTCAGATAAGGCCTGTGTGACACGACGTACAACTCAGCTGACAGTTGATTTGTCGAAGCCTAAAAATGTGTCTCCGATTACTTAAAGAAACGAACCTGACGCCAAGTACCTAATTTAAGGGTAATCAACACTTGCATCTCCGCTGAAACGGCGTGGTTTCTGTTCGTTTCAGGCATAATGTCATCTGCAACAAGTCCAACGATGTAGTTAATTGCATCTCGCCCAAAACGATATCGACATCTTAACTCGGAGTCGGTGTACGACGTTAACGGGTCAAGCTGCCGGCGGAAAGTTCTCCTTTTTCTGGGAAGTTGGTTAAGACGGTTTAGCGACAAGTTGCTCTGTAAAAGATGCAACTGCCGACCGGCCATGTTTGTGTCGTTTATCCGGTGGATAAAAATTTATACTACCTACATTACCATGGATAAATTTATCCGCTGGATAGCGAGTGGATAACGCTATCCATCTTTCGAACAACCGAGATGGCGCGAGTAGATAAATTTTATCCACTGGATAGTGATTTATCCGCTGGATAAGACTTATTCGCTCTTTGAACAACTGGGGCCTGGTCGGTTGGTTTATGACATTTACTGTTTATTCTTGGCATCATGACAGTAATTTATTTTCAGACATCCAGTATATCCAGTGCACTCTGCCTAACTGTGTACAGCCACCCCCCTTTCCTCAAATAAAATCGGGGAGAGACACCTTTGTTTGAAGGGAGGGGGGCAGCTGTACACAGGCTAATTTTTGGGTGTTGTTATTGTTCCTGTTTGCTTGTCCTTTAAAAAGGAATGGAATAAAACTAGATGACCGAGAAAGCTATTTACTGTACTTGAATTTGAACTTAAACGCGGTCGCGGAAATCAACAGTAAACACCCGCGAATAGGCCTCGCATAAAAAAGTTTTTTTTTCTTTTGGGCTATATCGATCATTGGCAATTTATGCTAAGGAGGTTAACTCTTAATTAGGTTCTTAATTTCTAATGAGATATAGTTGTTGACTACCAGAAATACAAAGAAACTTGAGTTTGGTCCTTAAATACAGTCGAGTTACTAACAACTGTACATTGCTAACCTCCTTTATGCAAGGTCCAAGAAGACAATTACAATCTGTACTTTTCATAAACATATCGATTGGATCGATAATCAAACTCACAGAAAAAGTTCTGTTCGATTATGTTGACTATGTTCGATTGCGGAACTCCATCGATGGATTGTGTTCAATTAAGTTCGATTGAGTTTAACAGCCTGCGAATACAGCCATCTCTCCGCGCTCCACATCGCTAAGGACGTTTCGCAAGAGGTTTCGTTTCCTGTGAAACGTCCCTAGTGGCGAGGAGGGAGGAGAGACGGCTATATTCGCAGACTAGTTTAATAACAGAACGTTCGATTGACCACGCTGGGTTTCGGCAGCGTACAACTGAGTGTACTTACACCAGTGAAAAAAGCTCCTGGTAGGTCTTGGTACCCCGACCCAGAGCATGAAACTAGCTGCACTTTACGCTATTCCACAGCTCCCTGTAGCAAAACTCTCATAAAAAGCAGTGGAAGAAAGTGTGCAACTACGCCTTTAGACGGTGTAAATACAGTATGGATCGGAGCTACCGTTCGACAAGCGAACCGGAGAAAAAATCGTTTGGAAACATGCTCGACATGAAATGATGTGGGTGATTTACGAGAGGCGGCTTCAGATATCTTTGTTCAAACAGTCAACTTGTCCTCATCTGTAGGCTTTGAGTCATCTGAAGTGAACGAGAATGAACTTAATAAAGGCGAAAGTGATCCCAAGGTATGATCATATGACAAGAATTTAGGTTCTAGGTAACAGGTGAAATCAAAAGAAATACAACAATTTTGCATTAACAGGAGCAAGGTCTTGCTTTAAAAGATTTTTTTATCTGCTCCAAAGTGATACTTGCAGCCACTGTGAGCAATTTTAGCGTCGATAGTGGGACGGCTGGAAAACGTAGCTGTCCACCATAATGACATATGCTTATCTTCAAATAATATGCTAAATCTTCAAGTGCGATTCAAATACGGCCGAGAACAAGGAACCGTGGCACGTGGAGATTCAAACATTCCGGAACTCAGACGGTCCACTTTCCCAGTAAACAGGATCAACAACAGATTTTTAATGTAGAGGTAGAACTTTAAGATCAGTGACATGCTTAAAAGCTAAGGGCCTCTTAAACATTTTTTGGATGTTCGGACTTGCATGGTGAACGCCATGGGCTCCTGGCTTTGTTTCATTCCATCAAACTATATAGCAAAATGCGTGGAAATAAAACTCGAAAAAAGATTCCGTTCCTTTCTGTGACAGGAATAATGTGGTGGATTCACTCTATTAAAATTTGTTTGTCCAATAATTTTGACGGGTTTTGCATGCTTGACTGGTGGCAAAGCGGGGAATCCCCGAATGGCCCGAAACATGACGTACATGTGTAATGCGGCATGAGCATCAGCGGGTTGAGCGGGACGGGGAGGGGCGTAGAGACAGCTTATGACACTTCAGACATCATTATTATCGCGGGTTTGCCATATAAGTGTACTGTTTAAGCAATAGAAAACGTTTTCCGTGTTTCAGCCTGATATAAACACGAGAAGGGTTGGGAGAATTCGAGACAGTTATGCAAACCTGAGACGAATTTGCATAACTGTCTCGAATTCTCCCAACCCCTCGAGTGTTTATATCAGGCTATGCAAACACAGGAAAAAGTTCTCTGTTGCTTTTATAAAATGACTTTCCCGAGAAAAAACGCAAAACTCTTTGTTATGGCACTGATTAGAAGAGAATTAAATTTTTACCAGTCGCAAAGTCTTGACTTTATAATTTACGTACACGAAGTCTTGCATGCGTAATCTGCTCTGGTTTTGCAAAAAGATGTTTTCCAAAGTAAGGATTTTTCTTGATTAAAATGTCAGCTTAAGTGCGAAAAAAATTGACACGGCCTATTTGAAACGATTTTGCAAGTTTCAACCGACTAAGGAATGGGTAAGTAAATTAAACATGTCGAGTTTTGAACCCGGAAACGTTTTCAAATTCGTGCTTGCGAGGGCATGATTAGCGCGCGAAAAGCAAAACATCTTGACGCCACAATATGTTTACATACTCTCATGCAAACACTCCTCTCGGCCAATCAGAGCGCGCGTTCTTGATCTTTTTAAATCTTCATATTACATGACTAACATTATTTTTAGACGTTATCGCCCAAAGACGTTGAGTTTGATGCAATTTCTGATCATCTGATTTAGCTGAACATAAGACAAAGAAAGATCTTCCAGAGGTAAGGGTCTTAGAAACGCTTCAGTATTAATTAGTTCAAGAATCGCAAAACAAAACTATTCTGCATGATCTATTAATTTTTTCAGCGATCACAAACCAGGAGCTACAAACCTGTTTGACTTTTCTTAAAGGTTTACATATATCCAAGCTGAGCCAATCTGTGTGAAGTATGATAGCCAGTTATTCTAGCTTACGTTACATGATTTTTGCCATTGAGTAATTTTTCGAGAAACTAAGGACCCAGAGCAAGGTTTATCGAAGAGAAATATTACTTACACGCATTATATTACTTGCTGAGGTGCAAGGCGTCCGGATCAGGATCAGTGATCCGACATCACTCAGATTATCCCGTGCAAAGGATCAAACCTATTAACCAAACTATTAAACCGCCTCAGGATCTTAATGTACCTACTGAGCCCCGCCCAATCCAGTCCGGAAAGGTTAATGAAAGGTCGATCAGTTAAAATAAAGTAGGAACAAAACAACGTAACATCCTGGCTTCCATAATACATTAATCGTATCCTTTTAATTTTTTCCACGGAATACGACTCTTTCTTCAGTAACTTTTTAATTATCTCTGGGATCGAGATCGAGCACTTAAAATCATGTACCACATGTGGCTATTTTTTTTTTTATCACTGAGTGAAATATGCAACGTTCTCTAGATCAGAACTTTCCGGGTGCAATCTTGAACATCTCTGGCAGCAGGTCATGCTTGAGCGTTTTCCTTGTGCGAAGCCTATCTAGGAAAGATCGAAGCGACTCCGCTAGCAGGGTAGGCGGGGCATTAGTAATTGGAGGTTTGTATAATGTCTATTTTTGGTTTGACTTAAAAACATCACCAGAGTATTGCAAAACATTTTGCGAAATGGATTGTTGACTCTGAGGAAAGTCTCTATTTTTTAGCAAGTGTGGTAGGGCTTCTTAGTGATAAATTTAGGGTTTGCCTAAAACCAGGAGTCCGAAGTCCGGAAAAAATCCACGCCGAATGCCGATTGACTCTGAAGATTAGTGATTGTGGTTAGGAAGCTGTGTGAATCAAGTTTCAGGTCAGTTTCAGCAGTTTGCTGACCCTATCACTATAAAACTTCAGATTCATTCGCGATTCCAATCGGGGTTCGGCGGAGGGTTTTTTCGGATTCTGAATTTCGGGTCGGCAAACCCATAAATTTATGGAAGGCGAACTTACATTGTCTGTCTGAATTTATAAAAAGGTACCTACAGAAATTTCAAGTGCGTTCTAACAGTTGAAAGTCGCTAGCTGGGGCTTAAAAGGACAAATTAATCGCTGGAAACACACGAAAAGTCGCTCTTGGCAGGGGAAATAATGACAATTCAATCTCTCAAACTATGAGGCTAAAACAGACCTAAAATTCCGCACCTTTGATCCCAGACTCGGTTGGCCAAGACAAAATCACTTCAACTAAAAACTCACAAAGCGTTTTCATGCTTGTACACAATATTCTTATGACACGAGCGCTACGGCATACCTGAAATCTGTCTGTCAACAAGTTCAGGAAATAACACAATTAACCTCGTTCGCGACACTGATAAAACTAACCACAACCAACCAGGCACAATGTTTCTACGTAAGGGACGGACCATTAAAAAACTTATGGTAAAATATCCGCTCAAGGGAAAATTAAATGAAAAAAATTCATGCGCGCCAATTAACCTAAAAAATATTCATGCCATGGCCTAAAAAAAATTCATACAAGGAATTTGATAACGAAAAAAAATTCCTGCGGCTCGAAAATTCCTGACCCTGCCATAGCTTTTCTAATGGTCCGTTCATCACACGTAAATTTTCCTGACACGGTCGATTTATTCAAGATCCCGGATGAAGACCGGATTGAAAGAGACACATAGAGGCCGCCGTTAAAACAATTTTTAACTAAGTCACTGACCTGGTCAGAACTCCGCATCAATTTTGCTCTCGCCCGAATAGATTTGATTTTTAGAGGTCTGAAAATTTTGAAACAGGATTTTATTCCACAGACTACATTGCAAACTTAGTTCTCAATGAATAACCACATGAAGCTCTAATATAATAGGCAAACTGAAGTCTGTTCGGACGGAAGTCAA